GCGGGGACACAGCCACTCCCCGTTGGGGACCTCGGGCAGGGGCGGGTTGAGGCAGTGGATGTGGTACGAGGACACGCAGGCGTCGCAGCACAGCAGCTCCCCGCCGTCCTTGCACACCCGGCAGTATTCCATGTGGTCGTCTTCCTCCTCCTTCTCACCCTCCTCCTCCTCCTCTTCCTCCTCCTCCTCCTCCTCCTTGGCCTCCCACTGCACGCCTTCCTTCTCCTGGGGAGGGAGAGAGGGGTCACCACGGAGGTGGGGCACCCCGAAAATGATCCTGGGGCGCAAACTGACCCAAAAGTGACTCAAAACTGACCCAAAAGTGACCCAAAAGTGACCCAAAAGTGACTCAAAAGTGACCCAAAAGTGACCCAAAACTGACCCAAAAGTGACCCAAAAGTGACCCAAAACTGACCCAAAAGTGACCCAAAAGTGACCCAAAAGTGACCCAAAACTGACCCAAAACTGACCCTGGGGAGACCAAAGTGCCAGGAAATGGACCCAAGGGACTCCTGGGATGTCCCCAGTGCCCCCCAGTGCCCCCCAGTGCCCCCCAAACCCCATCCCAGTCACCCCCCAGTGACCCCAAACCCCATCCCAGTCACCCCCCAAACCCCATCCCAGTGCTCCCAGTACCCCCAGTACCCCCAGTGCCCCCAAAGCCCCGACTCACGCAGTGGGGGCAGCTCCAGCGGCCCTCAGGGGCGCGGTCCAGCTCGGGGTCCAGGCACACCAGTGACCCCAGTGACCCCAGTGACCCCATCCCAGTGACCCCAGTACCCCCAGTGACCCCATCCCAGTGTTCCCAGTACCCCCAGCACCCCCAAAGCCCCGACTCACGCAGTGGGGGCAGCTCCAGCGGCCCTCGGGCGCGCGGTCCAGCTCGGGGTCCAGGCACACCAGTGACCCCAGTGACCCCAGTGACCCCATCCCAGTACCCCCAGTTCCCCCCAGACCCCATCCCAGTGCTCCCAGTGCCCCCCAGTGCTCCCAGTACCCCCAGCACCCCCAAAGCCCCGACTCACGCAGTGGGGGCAGCTCCAGCGGCCCTCAGGGGCGCGGTCCAGCTCGGGGTCCAGGCACACCAGTGACCCCAGTGACCCCAGTGACCCCATCCCAGTGACCCCAGTACCCCCAGTGACCCCATCCCAGTGTTCCCAGTACCCCCAGCACCCCCAAAGCCCCGACTCACGCAGTGGGGGCAGCTCCAGCGGCCCTCGGGCGCGCGGTCCAGCTCGGGGTCCAGGCACACCAGTGACCCCAGTGACCCCAGTGACCCCATCCCAGTGACCCCAGTACCCCCAGTGACCCCATCCCAGTACCCCCAGTACCCCCAGCGCCCCCAAAGCCCCGACTCACGCAGTGGGGGCAGCTCCAGCGGCCCTCGGGCGCGCGGTCCAGCTCGGGGTCCAGGCACACCAGGTGGTAGGCGCGGGGACAGGTGTCACACAGGATGATCTCCCCGCCCTGCTGGCACACCTCGCAGTAGTCCTGGTGGTCGGTCTCGTAGCCATCGCCCTCCTCCTCGGGACCCGGGCCTGGGGACATTGGGGACATCGCTGGGGACACTGGGGACACTGGGGACATTGGGGACACTGGGGACATTGGGGACATTGGGGGGACATTGGGGACATGGGGGACATTGGGGACATTGGGGACATTGGGGACACCGGGGACACTGGGGACATTGGGGACATTTGGGGACATTGGGGACATTGGGGACACTGGAAATGGGGACATTGGGGGATTGGGAACAAGGGGATGGGGACAGGGGGACATTGGGGATGGGGACAGGATTGGGGACACCGGGGACAGGACTGGGGACACCGGGGACAGGACTGGGGACACCAAGACCTGGGGTCCCCAGGGCCACCACCATCACCACCGGGGTGGACACAGAGCCCTCGCTTGGGGGTGGGGACCCCGGGTGACACCTTGGGGACCTCGGGTGACACCTTGGGGACCCCGGGTGACACCTTGGGGACACCAGGTGACACCTTGGGGACCTCGGGTGACACCTTGGGGACACTCGGGGGGGTCTCACCGTGAGCCACCGCCGTGCTGGGGGCTGCAGGAAGGGGACACGGTGACATCACCATCGCCCCGGGGGACACTCAGGGGACACTCGGGGACACTCGGGGACACTCGGGGACACTCGGGGACACTTGGGGACACTCACCCTTCTTCTTCTTGCGCCCGGGGCGGCCCCGTTTGAGCTTCTTGAGGCGCGTGCCGGGGTCGGGCCGGGGGGCGGCCCCCAAAACCCCCCCGGGGCTCTCGGCCTCCGACTCCTCCTCGGCCTCGCCCGCGTCCTCGCTCTGCACGGGGACATCGGTGGGGACATCGGTGGGGACATCGGGGACATCATTGGGGACATTGGGGACATCGGGGGGATTGGGGACATTGGGGACATTGGGGACATTGGGGACATTGGGGACAGGAGGTGACCACCAGGGGACATCAAGGACAAATGTCACACGCCATGCGCCCATCCTCAGTGTCCCTTGTCCCCAATGCCCCCAATCCCCCCAATGTCCCCAATGTCCCCAATGTCCCCAATGTCCCCAATGTCCCCAATCCCCCCAATGTCCCCACTGTCCCCAATGTCCCC